AGATGAAAGGTTTAACTGAAAATGTCGCTGAAGAAACTGGAGCATTGAAATATCGTTCAGGCAAAATAATTTAATTCAATAAAATCAAAATGGCCTTCTAAAACTATGATGTGGATTTTATAAAGAAAGGTGTGGATGTCTCCACTAGAAAGAGACTTTCCATGGAAGAAGCTGAACTTTAATCAGAAGAGACTTGAACTCAAAAACCACAATTCTAAGCTTAAATCGAACCACTCCAATAGGAAATGAATTGTTAAATCAGGCGTAAGAACAGCTGTGGCTTAGAGAACGTACAAGCTTATTCAACGCTTAAAAATTTTAAATACATGTACAAAAATTTCACAAACACATTCTGACGAATATCTAAAATTCTTTCATCTCAAATGTGTTATCAATAACGTGCTAAGAGTATTTCAAGGTAATTATAATGTAAGGGAATTTTACCCAGAGACGGTCACTGTCTTAAGTAATTCATCAGCAAAGACTTTCTGGAAAGCCTCGCAGCAAACATCAGTAGACATATTCTCCATACTGTTCTCATACATTTCTTACGGTGCTGAAAAGGAGAATTTATTAAACAATCATGACCTTTTTTTAGTTAGTGATCATTTCTTTCATTCTCGTGACCTTAATGCGTGATTCAGTGGTGAAACTGTAAGGAGAAATTAAATGCTAGTCACTCTTAGTGTTCATAAGCTTAAGTTTCCTTGAAGGTTAAATTTTTCCGAACGATTTGCTTCCTAGAAAGGGCCTATATGTGCATTTGCAAGCATGGCACAAAAAGCAAAGACAAACAAACCAAAACCGAAAACATTTCACTCAGAGTCATTTTTAGAAGAAAAAAAGTTTTAAACCTTCGTTGTGAAATTTCACCAGTAAACTTGGTAGTCTTCTTTAAATCTCGTGTGCGTTTAGGATCAATCTTTAACCCTTGCATGAAGAGTTCTTTAATGAAAGGTGACGGCATGTTACTCGTGGCCAGTGCATATATAAAAGAAAAACAGAAGATATTAATGTTTCAACTTCTGGAGCTAAGGGTACAATATTTTATTTTACAATAATATTTAACTTTTTGGATGAAAAGTTTTGAAAAAGAAGTGATTTTATCAGCCTCATGAAAGTCCTAGAAATTTTTTGGGAACGTTGTGGCTGTCTTTATAATAGAAATATTTTCCCAACAAAGGGAAATATTTTCTTTAATAACTATGATACTACTAGTAATAATGTTAAAATGGTTTTGTATCATAAGGATTTCTTGATTTTGCTATTAGACCCTGAAACAATCACTGAAAAAAGGAAAAGCGAAAACTAAAATTTTTGCCTGAATTAATTAAAAAAAATTTTTCAAAAGCAAAATTTTAAATATTCCAGAATGAATAATGAGTAAAACTCTGAAACGTTCGAACAAACACACATTGAAAACACTCGCAAACCAAATTTCTCAGTGAAACGCTTTGAAAAATACGTTTTAGTTTAGGTCGAAGTGAAAGTCTAACTCTGAACTTAATAAGGAATGGTTCGGCTTTGTTTACAAGCGACATTATTATGTCGTACGAAATTGCAATTTGTCTAGATAAACTCCAAAAAGCTAATTATAGTTCAACATGTTCCTAGGTTATCTTCGCTGTTCCATAGAGACTCGTAGCGAATATAGTTTCAATTTAAAAAAAAAAACCGGTTTTTTTCCACACAGAGACCTACCTTTAGCCAAACATTCACTCTGCACAATCTCAGACAGTCCATGTCTAGGTTTGTTATAAAAACGTTCTGACTCAAAACGGTATTAAGTTATAAATAATGATAGATTGAAAATATTTACGAAAGTTAGCAATCTACCTCGTGTATGGACTTATTTCACATGGAAATTATGTTTACATTTTGTTCTACCACAAACTTTCGAGTAACGTCTGAGCGATTTTAAGCTTAACTTTTCAGTTTTTATTATAATACTATTTCCAATTTGGTTGAGAAGGATCCCCTCTCAACTCAAAACATTTTATCCAGTTTTACGATTTTTTTAAATTCCTTCGGCACTGCACTATATTTGTTTGAAAATACTTCTACCGAAAGAAAACGTAATTTATAATAGCTTTGATTTTGCAGTCTTTAAACTGTTGCTAATATCTGGAATATTCTTGGAACTTAGCAAGAAGGGGCAAAAGGCAAACGCAACACCTTAACGTGTTTATCCATTAATTCATTATTATATAATGCTTGAATCCATGCTAGAAATCGTTAAAGATTTTTGCCTCGTTCTCCAAGTTACATTGTAATGGATTTCTTTGATTTACCAGCAAAACATCAAATTGAAAAACTCACGTTTAGCCGAGTTCTTTACTTCTCACTGTTGGTTTCCCATTCTCAGTTTCCATTCCTCTTATCCAATAACAGTTTTCATCTCCGTCCATCCATTCTACAAATGAAATTAATGACTTGATGATTATTTAAGACACAAAACAAATAATCGAAAAATAAGAAACGAGAAAAGAAAAAAGGACAAAGTCGAGTGTTTCTTTTTTTTTCATTTAATTTTTTCTTTTGTGAGATAAGCTGTCTGATATGTTGTAAACTTATACCACCGGTGATTTATGTGACGTCAACTGGATGGATTATTCGAGAAGTCAACTATGGGTCAGTGTTTTCTAAAGCATCCTTGGTGGTCTCGTTTGAGATCTTCCGCAAAACTAACCAGGCTAACAACAATCAAATAACTGCAGCTTATTTATTAAATCAGATGAAGATTGCCGCTCAAGTTATCAAAACGTCATTGTTATTGTCAACAGTTCATTTCAAAACTACCCACGTCCCGACCATCACACTAAAATCCCTCGACAAATCCTTGTTCTTGTTCAGAAAGTACATTTTTTAGCTTGAAATGGTGTAAAGGGGGCTCTTCAAGGTTTTAATAATTGTAACTACCCTCAACATTTAGTAACATTTATCTTGCAGATAACAATGGCAGATCAACGAAATAGTGTTGAATAGTTCAAACAATAGCGGCATACAATGAAAACTTTGGCACCTCTCTTTCTGTTGAATTGTCATGAGTTATCTTGAACTACCAGCAAAACAAAACATTGAAGAACTCACGTTTATCCAAGATCTTTTAAATCACTCCGTGCATTCCTCATTCCAATCTAAGTTTCCACTTCCTTCTCGCGATTCTGCAGATCTCTACACATTATATTCAATGATCAGTTTGTTGTCGCACCCCATGAAATGGCAGTCCGTGCTAAGAATATAGCCTCTCATGAGGGAAAGGAATAACAGTGAAAGATGCTGAATAGTTGTGCTCAACTTTCATTCTCACCGAAGCATTAATTGGTAAATTTCGTTACCCACTCCACCTTCCTTTTTTTCCTCTTTTTTTTTTGCTCAAGGAGAGTAGTTCCTATGGTTAGTAATAGGGCCGACTTCTCACTTTTCACGAATTTCGCGGCGTAGGTACAAATTAGATTTTATATTTCACATGATTCCGTGACTTACTCTCAACAACAAGTTCGCTGTCTGTGTGATTCCTGCCTCTTCCGTCATTAAATTACTGCAGTCCTAAAGGAAACAAACACGAACCAAACAAAGAAATCATTGAGAATGGAGAAAAAAAATCCTCCTTCTCTTAGAGAATAGCAATAAAAAGCAAGGTGACTACGCCACTTATAAGTATTTTAAACATGGCTTTCTCGGTCTGATACATAACTTCCATTTCTAAAATCACTCATCACTGAAAACTGAAAAAATTGCAAATAAATGAGCCTAATTAATAATCCGCGTACACAAATAAGTTTTAGTGTATCATCACGCTATACGAGATGAATGTAATAAGCTGAATTTACCCTTGAAAGTGAGAGATAGTCAACGTTCTCACCAAAAATCTGTAAAAAAAACACTCCAGTGGTACAAAGAGACCGACTCGTGTAAGGTAACTCGATAAGCCTAAAGAATAGAGGCACAAGCTACGTAAAATGCTTGACTGTGAACTAGAGGACAAACCCCACTTTAAGACGAGTTAAATTCTTAACGTAGAAGCTCTCTCTGGAAACTTCCAGAATCGGCATTTGAGATGAACTTTACTATAAAAGTAAAACTGAGTACAAGAATAAGACATGGAGAGAGATTTTGACTGGACCTTCGAAGAAGAGAACACTGTGAAACGCATTTCTCTCTCACCTCATTTAAAGCTACTAGTATCCTGCAAAAGCACAACAGTATCTCCAATTTGGGTTTCTGAGTCTGAGGTAAGGAAGCACTCATTTCAAAATATCTTTCGACGCAGTTACAAGCGATGGAAGCAGAAGAGTACGTCGAGTTTCCGTTCAAAGCAGCAAAACAATGTAACTCCATGAACCGCATGTCACAGGGACTCAAGGTGTGAGACAAAAATGAATGAATAATTAATTTTTGAGGCAACGGTCATCTCGCCCTTTGCTCCCTGCATATATTAATCACTAAAAGTTCCGAGGGTTTCATATTTGCCACAGTAGTGTTTTCTAGGAGGAAGAGAAATTGTTTGAATGGATATTTTGCTATAAATAAACATTTGAAATCAGTTTTGTAGTTGGGCTCAAAGTAAAATCGACGATGTCCACAAGGCTCTCTCCTCTCTCTTAGGGTACTGCCATTTTAAATTTTCGTTCGTTGCCAGTCTCCTTTCGTCAAAAACGCCAGAGGAACAACCCAAAAGGGAGCACGAGTCCGAGACAACAACGGATGCAAATTTCCAAAGTGAGACGAAATCGTCTGAAAACTGACGCAGGTGTCCAAAATTTGACGAAAGTGTGAAAAAAGTAGCGGAACTGTCCAAAAACGAAATTAAACAAAAGTAGACAAAGTACCCAGATTCGGAAGAGATCATCCGCAAGGAATATGTTTATCTCGTCAAACAAATAACTTCGAGCTTAACGATGTCATTAAGAAACTTAGACGAGGTCATAACTATACAACGTCATGAAATTAACTTCGTCTTTTAAGTTAACGTAGTCATTAAGAAACAAAACGAAATCCTCAAAATTAACGCACCAATTAATCAAAACTATGACAAAATTTGAGAAAGAAACCAACCATCGGTTATACGTTTTCATAAGAAACAACTCTGTGAAATGCACGACAACGGTGCGCGCATTTGACACGTAATGTCTAATTACAGGCATGATGTCTACGCTGTCCAGTTAGTGCTCAAATCGGACTGATAACCAATCATGTCCGAGAATTGTTATAGTTTTGATTGGTTTAATAATAGCTTCGTTAAATTTTTATGACTTCATTAAGCTGATGACGTCAAATCACTAATTACAATGACTTCATAGTCACATAATGACGCATGACGTATATGCCCTACAACTGAGTTAACTTTTAAGCATTTTTTTTTTCGTCGAAAAGGACAATTCAGTGATAAAACAAGCGAAGAGGGAGGTTAACCATGACTTTCACGGCAAAAGAGAAAGACAAAGATGACCAGGTGAACAATTTTTTTTCCGCCATATTTGACGCCGTTTGCTCTCTGCCGTTTTCAACGTGAAGGAAGGAGGTTTCACGTTAATGAAAACCGTGAGTAAAAAGTGTGTTCTTTTAATGAGTTTGTAAAGCATAAGCTATCGTGTGCTTCGAGGCAAAGCGTCTTTACTTCTTCTAAGAGGTAAAACAAGTGTCTTGTATTGACTTAAGCGGGAAATTATGTAGAAGGATAACATGTTATTTAATGGAAAAGGTCTTGTTTTTGTAGGATAGTCATAAAAGTAAACTGCATCATAATCCTAATTTAATATATATTTGGTTACTCTTCATAAAATCCAAGGTGTTTATAATCTACCTTTCACTTTCTAGAAGGCAAATAACAAACACTCAATTGTTCTTCAAAAAGAAGAATGTTACAAACTTACTGCCAGCCCGGCGGTCCATTGGTAAACTCGTGGCGATTCGAGAGACTAGTTTCTTAAAAAAAAAACCTGTTGTTTGAATCATTTATAACATCTAGTGCCCTTAACCAACATCTACGATGAAAGGTTGAAGTACGAGATATGTTTTTTCCGAAGCGCGAGAAGTCAATTGACAAAAACGAAGATTTTCCTTCCAATAAATAAGAGAAAAAAATTAATCGCTGCTCTAAAATTGAAAAACTCCCACAATAATTGCATGCTGTCCTATAAATTTCACTCATGAAGCTATCCGTAAGTTGTTGTTCAGTAGCCAATCATTCTTCGCCATCCCAGTAATTCTCAGGAACTTCCTCCGGCTTGAACATCCACGCCTGCATGAGATAACGGTGGCGTATTCCAATATTCTCAATCGCTTTCATGTCATCCTCATCTAAGTTTACATGAAGTGCTTCAAGGTTCTCTTTGATATGGTTTTCAGAGACGGCTTTTGGGAGGACTGGAGTGTTACGCTTGATACCCCAGGCTAAAGCGATCTGTATTCCAAACAAATAAAGATAAGAACTTTTAAGTCTTAAAATCCCAAAAAAGCCCCCCCCCCCACACACAAAAAAAAACCCTTTAAAAAAGCTTAAAAACCTATACACCCCACACTATAATGCTCTGCTTCATGCCAGCTCTTGTTTTTCTTTGGATTAGAAAATCTCAGAAAACCCTTCACGTTATAATATTCACATAAAACATATTCAAAAGGCAAGAGCGATCTAATAAAATGAATTTCTTCATCAATTTTTTCAGAGAATCAAAAACCAAGCATTTGGTAGAAAGTGTATTAAAAGTGTAAGGAGAAGTTCTATTTTAATCACATTTGAGAGTTTAAGGTTTATGATACTGAATAATTGGGCCAATTATCCATAGGCCGCAGCAAAGTAAAGTTCTATAGATTATACTTGTGAACAGCAGAAGAAGAGGCAAACTCACCAGAGCAGAAGTGGTGCCATGTTTTTCAGCGATTTTCTTTAACACAGGATTTTGCAGTATCACAGGTTCAGAATCTTTGTTGGCAAAAGGACGATCAGGAGAGCCCAGAGGAGAGTATGCCGTCACAACAATGCCTAAAATGCACAAACAATATTCCTAATCATACCAAATAACATATCAGTATCCAGAGGGAAACTGGAAGAATTGGAGACTCACTGTACAGCAATCTATAAAGCCGTTATTTGTAACAGTAGTATACAAATGATACAAAACAGTGAACATGAGACATTAATATTTATAATTTGTGGCAGGCTAAATTCAGGACACTCTGTGCTCTGGAGATTATTGAGATGCGCACACTCTGATTAGTCATTGATTGCATCATATCACGCTATAATCACCTTACGCGAGGTGATTATAGTAGGGGAATAGTGGCGGGGGAAGGCTAAATTTAAAAATGGCTACCTCGCCTTTTACTGAGGAAGTGACTAAAGTGATAGAAGAAAATACAATTTTGAAGAGCATAAAAGATGTTACTAAGTTTGGTGAAATACTTTTCCAAAGAAAGATATGAAGTTTTTACTGATTGAATTTAGTAAACCTGTTAAATTCTAGTGGAAACTGGCTTCTTATCTCAATACAAGTAATCAACAAAAAATTGTAACAGAATGGTTTCAACAACAAAAAAGTTTTTAACAGAACTCAAAAGCACCTAAGCAATTATACTAAACCAATTATTCACCTCAGGCTTGATAAATATTGTTGAATAATCCCCTCAACTTTGTCTTAGGGATAATTCAACAATATTCACTTCAACTTTGGAGAATAATTGTTAACTAAGGCCCAATATTTTATACACTCAAACAATCATCCCTGAAAGCCAAGTGATCACTGAGGAGCCTCCAGTCCTATGTGAACAGTGCTAGCACATTACACAGGAAGAATGCCACATATTTGTTCACACTTACATGTAAGATAATTTTGAAAAACTTTAATGCCCTTATGTTCTTGTTTGTCTGCTTATCAATTTTCCAAGTTATTTCACTATACCAACAGTGCACTATGTTTAAATTGTAATGAGGTTAGAGATCAGGAAATCAGGCTTTTCTGTCTTTGAGGTTCAAGAAAAGGTAATCACAAGTCATCAAATAGACTTAATTCATTCAATTATTAACTAACCTTTGTCAGCACTAAACTGCAATAGTTGTGGCTGAGGTAAATATGGATGTAATTCCACTGTTAGACAAATCACAGAAGGGAAAAATCAAATTTTGGGCAAAGTACATAAGATGCATGAAAAATAAGGCAGACACCACCCATCTTGTACAAAAGATTGTATTCTTGAATTCCCAACACATATTGAAAAAAAAAATAGAAAATTACTGTACACTTTCAGTTAAACCTCCAAACTTAATTTTAAAGACAGTTGCAATGATAGTAATTAACTGAACAAACTGAATTTTGCACATCTGACAGAAGAGTCACAAACTTTGAAAAAATGTACATCTATGATTAACAAGCTTGTAACTTGCTTTAATATTGATTATAAGGGGTAGAGGGGGAACTCATTGAAGATAACAATTTAGAGAGAGAATGACACTAATTAGAAACAGAGATTTCATTTGCCTTGTATTGAGAAAGTTATATCTGTTATTAGGGATGAATTATTCCTTGAACAAAAACTTTCCAGCCAAACCTCCATCATACAAATGAGAAAATAAATGTAATTTAATCTTAAAAAACAGGCAAATAAAAAAATATCAAACACCAGCATACCTTGATTACAAGCTGGAACTATTCTGGCAGTTTCCAAAAGAGTTTGTGTCTTCTTAATTGTAAAATTTGAGATGCCAATAGCTTTACAGAGACCTTTGTCCACCAGCTGCTCCATTGCCTTTTAAGTGGTAGAAAGGAAAAACATTTATTACATTATATTACTGGCCAAAGCATGTTATTTTCATCAAATTCCACAAGGCTACAACTTTGTACACCTCTTCCTTCAAAGGTTATAAAAGCTCTACCATCTGAATATAAAATGGACCAGTCCTGAGAACTGACAGTACTGGTTCTGACCAAAGTGGCTGTGCTCTATAACCCTTTACACCCTGACATCAGAATACATATTCATATACATACTGTTCTTTATACATTTCCTCTGGAACTTATGAGGAGAATTTTATCAACAGTCCAGAGCTCCCATGCATAGTTGGTTTTATACTTATGACCTTGCTGTTTGATTTAGCAGTTACACTGGACAGAGAAATTAGCTGCTACTCACTCTTGGGGTTAAAGGCTAAACCTTTAACTCCCAAGAGTGACCAAGACATAATTTCTCCTCACAATATTAATAAAATATCAACCAGATAAACAATGAGAATAGAGAAAGTTAAATATCAATTTGGAGATGATTAGTTGATCCAATACTAAATTCTCTGAACAAACATCATAAGAATTGTGTGGTTGACAGTAACAAGAATTACAAATTTGATTAGGGAGTTAAAGGTTTAATATCAACTCCTGCTTGGGTTTTTTGCAGAATGCCTGGAGCATAGGGTACCAGATGGTTGTGGTGTTGTAATATTGTCACTTAGATCCTTACTGTGTTTAAATCCTATAATGCTGTTGTGTGATTAAAGAGAAGAAAGTTGTGCTTTAACAAGAGAATCTTCTAGAGACATGTCCTTCTCATACGATGTAAGAGAAAGCTCAATGTTACACACACACATGCACTCACAAATAAAGGATATCACTCCTATTACAGGGTAGGTGGGATCATATAGTTTATATTTTCAGTTCAGCCAAACTTGGTCAAATCAAAGCATTGTTAGTAATGATACCAACACACTTATACTATTATGAGCAACCTTACCTGCCAAGTCTTGGCCATGCCTTCGGGTGAGTAACCTATCACCCCTTCTGCCTTTGAGTGAGGAAAAGGGACATCTTTTTTGAAAGCAAGGGGGATGTGGATCTATTGAAAAATTGTTGAAATTAACACTGGAATATTAAATGGGGTGCCTCTTCAGAAATGCTCAAGAGCTTGTTCCACTGGGTTAGGGATTGATTTAATAAAATCTTACAAGTTTGAGACCAGACTATCATTTCATATTGAGACAAATAAAGATAGATACATGTAGATCTCTACTGAGTCTGGTATAAATTAGCATTTAGAAGGAAAATCCCTCATAGCATTATACATGAAGATTTTCAAAAAACTTTACCAAGAAAAATGACAAGGGGGAAAGCATAGTCTGGATAAGTTTTATACTTACAAGATACAAATCCAAATACTTCAACTGCAGATTTTTCAGTGTTATCTCACATGCTGGTAAAACATCCTCAGGTGCCTGACTATTGCACCTAATTTTTAAACAAAATAATCAAGATAAAACCACAGTACAAACCAGTAAAAGCCAGTTGAGACAGAATTAAACAGTAAAACATTTATTTTCTCATTTGGAAGTTATTCCTTCAAATCAAGCATTTAATCTAGTGAACTGTGTCACACCATGTCTACAATAATGAAATCTTACCCATGGGTTATTTGTGAAAGCTTTAAGAAGCATAAACAACACTCTAAGATAACTAATATCCATGACAAAAATCAAAACCATCAAATTCATGCAACATTACCATATGCCTTGCCAAACATTACAGCTACTTACAGCGCATAACAGAAATAAACATCAGAGCCCAGTTGTTCAAAGGATGGATAATTCTACCTGACTGATAAATTGTTATCCAGCAGATAAGTGTTTACAAAACATACTGCACTATCCACCAGATAAAGATTTATCCAGCCGATAGTGAAATCCACCCATTGAACAAATAGTGAAAGTTTAGAAAGTTATTATTTACCAGAGCTTTGATGTAATGAAGATATCTTCACGTTTCACTTTTCCTTCTTTAAACACCTCAGTAAGACTTTCCCCTATTTCGTCTTCATTTTGATAAACATGTGCACAATCAATATGTCGGTACCCATACTGCAAAGCAAGCCTGACTGCCTGTCCTACTTCACCTTTCTTGGATTTCCATGTCCTGTAGGAGTACCCAGTAAAACCAATCATATGAAAACCTCACATTAATTTAACATTTAAAATTCAATATTAATTTGTTGCAATAAGAAAGAGATAATTTGAAAAATCAAAAAAAAAAATTGTGAAAACCCTGCCATGCTCCATTACCGAGAGAGGTGCTAGTTTGAGCCCCTCCCATTGCAAAAACTAATAGACCCTACAGGAAGGCAACTTCATTCAAATTGAAAATGAAGACATCAACAGTATTTCCTGCTTGCCTTGTCTCTAATAGCTTCCCTCCAACTTCAAAACTTACAAAACCCTGTTAACCCTTTAACTCCCATAAGTGATTAACATAAAACTTCTCCCTACAGTATCCACACATTCTTCAGCAAACAGGTAATGAGAATATTCAAACTTATCAGGTAGAAGCTGCTATCTTAATATTCTGTTTATAACAGGCTGAACCTGGAAAATATGCAAGCAACAAGGACACTTTCAATGGAACCATTAAGGCTTCAAATAAAATCAACAAAAGGTGACTGTGTTTTGTGCCTTTCCTTATTTCAAAAGGGTTTTCAAACTTCAAAATTACAGAAAATACTGTCTCTATAGCTGTTAGACAAGTCTGAGAACCTATGCATGCTCTTTTTGGTTGATACATGTGTTAATCAAGACAGGAGTATGTAACATGGTTGTGAAATTTCAGATACCTGCATATTTTTTTCAACAATTTTTTTGATGAAATAATTTGAATCATGTTTTTCCTTTAACTTATTTGTTGCACTCAGTGCACTGAGAAACAAATCCCATCTGTAAGTAAACTTACCCCAAAGCAATTGAGGGCATTAATGCTCCATTATTCAATTTCACTGCTGCTGATGCCTGGAAAGAGACATTGTTCATTGCAATTATTAATACTGGTGAAATCCACTGAGGAACATTGGCCAGGGAAGGGGGAGGAGGGGGAGAAAGGAGGGTTCTGAAAACCACAAAGCAAAAAAGATTTAGAAAATACCATAATATTGCAAAAAAATGAGCAAATACAGCAATACTTCAATACTGAATGGAACTTGATGTCCTATGAAAATCACTGCTCTGTAAGTTACATTTAGAGCAAAAAACACAGAAATAACAGTTAAGGATTGGTCAATGAACAGTAAGTCACAAACAGGTAAATTTTAAATTTAGAAAAAAAAACTGTTTGAGTTCCTATTACAGCCTGTTTCCAAAACAATCAGAAACTGGCAAAGGCTTCTAAAAAAGTGAAGGACCTGGGGGATGATTTTAATACTGTTCAAAATGCTAAAAACTGCATTCAGCAGGTTTGAAAATACTGCAATATTGCAATTCACAATAAAAATTACCAAAATACTGCAGGGAAAATTGTCCAATACGGCAAAACCAAAAACCCCAAAGCTCTCTCCAATCTTATTTGAATAATCTTGAATGCTCAGTTACTTATTCAAAGTTACTTAGCACATTTTTCTACATGCTTCAACAGTTTTTAACAACCATCCTGCAATTTACTCTTCCTTTTTTTCTGCTATTAATCATGTCAGAGAGTCCTCAAAAAAACTAAAGAGTTATCTTCTGAAGAGCTATTTTTCAGTGTTGAGTTATACCTTAACCCTTAAACTCTTGTGAGTGACCAAGACAGAATTTCTCCTTACAATATCAATCCAATATTAACCAGATAAGTGATGAGAATAAAGAAAAATATCAAATTGGGGATAATTAGTTGATCCAATACTAGATTCTCTGAACTACCATCCTAAGAATTGCATGTCTGACAGTGAAGAGAATTAAAAATTTGATCTGGGAGTTAAAGGGTTAAGGTCAGGAGAATAAAGGAAATGATCACCAACTTAAGAAGCATTTGGAGAATGGCATGGTGATGTCAGAGTGTAAGGGTTGAGTCAGTGCCCCTCTCACCCCATCCGTTACATTTCTCTTCGCTTAGAACGAACGTTGCGTGACATACTACAATGCAACGCGGTGTCTTTCAGCACCTACATTTTTATAAACAAACGTCTAAAATTTTAAGTCGCGTCAAAATTTAATGAGAAATCCCCATTTTGGTCTGTATGCGATAACCTTTAATCAAGTTAAGCACGGAAGGGCAAGAAAAGTCACATAGGCTTCCAGCACGAAATTTCTCACAGCAAATCAGGTGATATTTATAGCAATGCAAGTCTGAGTCATGCTGCATCATTCCAAAGTGCGAAGTGGAATTAGAGAACAGTTAACTTCCCAATGAAGATCGATCGAAACGTGAAGCACCGACGAACGTGATCTACCTCCAGGTATCATTCCATTATTCTTCACTGAACGTTCCCATTTAATTTTAATTTAACTTTATCTTCCGCGATCGACCTCGGGGATTTAGTAGGGACCCAGATCACATGGAGAGAAGATACATGAGGTGTGTCACACAAGGAAAAAAAAAGTATAGTACTCACCATACTAAGCCGAATTTTACGAAATTACTATCGGCGACAAATAATAGAAATTAGATATAGGTAGTCTCAAGAGAAGATGTTACATGCACAGCTCGCCGACGCGAGATCAGCTGAGTGTCACTGCACCTCTGCAATTAGCGATCACTTTCGCAGGGCACTATGGACTTTCCTACAGTCGGCCGGCAATCGGGCCATCTTCGTGATCTCATCGGAACATGTCAGCCTCATTCCTTCCACGAACAGATAGTCATCGGCCCGTCTCGTTAAACGATATGCGATGATGCGAGTTGGAAGGAAAGATCCAGATTTCCCGACTAAGCTTGAAATATTGTTATACTTTTTCAATTCTTGTAATGGCCTCTAATATGGAATTCAAATTCTTTAACGTTTTCCTCCCCATTCCCTCTCCAAAACGAACATGAGACAATCCCTTCTACTTAAAGAATAATTCTTTTTTTGTTTTTGTTTTTTGTTAACTACCAGGTTTTTTCCAGACCCCGTTACAGTAAGTTCTCGTGTGATCCTCGAAAAAGAAAACTGTTGTGGAGCCACTGACATACCGTGAAAATTGCTCCTATAACCAGTGAGAGTGTGATAGACACATTTGGAAGCTGGCAGAAACGCAAAGTCTTGTGTGAGCGCACCTAACCTGGTTTAAAAATTTACTTTTTCATGTTCTTCTAATCCCCCCCTCCCCAGTTGATTCAAATCATTCACGCACACGATAGAAAAGTAGAATACTTTAATTGGAAAACAGACTAAATTTAATACTAAATCTTTTTATAAGGAGCAGAATCTTCGTCTATCTTTCGAAGAAATTCCAGAAGAGGAAGGAGTCTTTCTCAAGTTTTTCTGGAATAATTAGAGGAGAATATGCTCGCGCGCAGAATATGAATCTGCAAACTGAAGAGGAAATATATAATGAACAATATATCTTTAGCAGAAGCATAAAATGAAAAATTAATCTTTAACAGAAGCATTTGCTTCTAGTATTTACTATAAATTTTCAATCACAACAGCGTTCAACCTGTGCGCATCTGTTATAAAATATCCACAATGGTTCAAATTTACCATAACATGTAAACTTAAAATTAACTGCAAAATTATGTTAGAAAAAAAACAGATAGAACTCATCGCGTATCAACTTTGACGTAGAGATAGCTCACCAGTGTAAATAGTTGTCTCTTTCTTTAACAAGTGTCTATGTTTCATGCTTACTTCGCTAGATACCAGATCTCTCTCATATCTCAATCTCCGAAGGCTTCCCTATCGGTCTATGATGATTCTTCAAATACCCAACCGTATTTTAACCCGGAATGATAGACCAACAGGACATTCGCATTTTTCCTGTGTAGCTTATCATGTACAAGAAAAACCTGAATGGTGCACTAGGGTAAGTAATTCGTCGTCAGATTAAGTCTCAATATCAAATTGCTGTATCAAGAGAGTTGGGTCTAAATTTTCCCGTTGGCCTGAGACGTTTCTGTAAGAGTCAAACAAATTTGGCCAATTAACCCGCGCCTTTTTAGTGATTTTCTTCCCTTAAAAACAATTATTTTCAAGTTTCGTCGTATTTTAAGACCTATTCTTCGTTGCAAATTCGACTCGAGGACTACGACGTTGCTCAGAAGTCTCTTGGTCCACAAGAAGCGCTAGCGCCTAAACCCACGGCTGCCAGCCTGAAAACAGACGACATAAATTCTTAGGATCCATGGCTACCCTTATCAGGTGATTAACTTGCCCTGATACACTCAAGTGCACCCCATCTTCGACACCATCCAGTTTCTGCTTGAGTCGTAACAGCACTCTCTTTGCCATTTTGTTCACATTATCCTCGGCAGCGATGTTCTCTTGGCCTATTGTTGCGTCCAAGCAGTCACCAGTGACACTGACTGGGAACTGGTCGTCTTCCTCTGCCTTTTGCTGAAGGGCTTTTCTCTTTTCAGGGCTGAGCGTCCATGATGATAAAGGGTCGTAAAGCAAAACCTGGCGAGAGAGAAATTGACGATTTCAAACGCTGTGTAAGTGTCAAATTATCAAGTAACTACCATTCTACGACCTCAATGACAATAATGATAATTATTTGACAATCATTGCCAAATTTCGAGATTTGTCAGCTAAAAGACAACCCCCAAATCACTGTCTTTTTCGATAACCAAGTTCACTAAATATTCTAACGTCTGATTACTGAGTTTGCTGGTTAGAACAGGTCAGGGAGGCGATTTGCCATTCGCCACAGAATAGCGAGGACCCAACCTTGCAGGTTGAGGTCATTGTAAGGGGAATAACTGAACCCCGATGACCTTTTTCTGCTCTTCTCAAAGAGAATACAAAAGTGCAGGCGCGCATGCGTGCAAGCAAGGAGAAGGGAGAGGCCCTTTTGTATCAAATGCCAAGCGCTAACCGGAGTAGGTCGTCTTTGCTCGTTGAAAGACCTTTTAATAAAGAAACACTTTAATAAATGAAACACTTCTCTTATTAGCACAGCACACCTCTACAACTGTCATAAGAGACTCTTGTGACGTTCTCATAACTTCCATTGTCTTTTCACAACAGCGACGGTACACTCCCTCCACCCCTGTCAGTCCCATCCCATCCACCATGTCACGTGTCAAGCGAAACGGTACAGTCTCTGGGGTTGGGAGAAATTTGCCTTGCTCGAAGGCCACACCTGCGAGAAAGCGATAAACACGACGAAAAATCATGAGTACAACTGCTTCAATAAATCAAATTAATTCTAAAATAAAGAAACTTCGCCAGGCAAACAAACTCTGAAGGAATGCGCAAGCGCTACAGTGAACCAGAGTCCCTTGGAAACGTAATCATTTATATGAACGAAAATAGCGAAAACACGCAACTCTTTTTTTTGAAAAATCTGACTCCCATATGCTATGTTTGCTCTGTTTTTCAGTACCACTACTGGGATCACTTTAATAACATTAACCAATTATGATGTGTAAAACTAACAATAACCTCAACTAAATTCAATTGTGCTCACATGTGCTAAGGACTAAAGAAAGCCAAGACACTTAAGATCCAAATGTAATTTACTGTTGGATCAGTCTTGTAATCAGATTGATCGGTTTTGGGGAAGTGACCTCAATAAAAAAAAGTCGCGCGGTAAACTTTTAATAATTACAAAAAATTGTCACTGCAAGGAGAAAATTAGTCTACGGTCAAAATAATGATACGTGCACCAGAAAGGTTACGTTTTTCTTAAACAACAATATGTGTGTACGTAATTTAATTTCACGCATACTTTCTTTAATTTATTCTACTAATTTGAGGCTGGATCTAGAATAGTTGTAGATTTGGCAAGGAGTAGGTGGGGGAAGACTTGTTGTTTCCTGGTGTAAGCATAGAAGACACAGTTGTTGTCTTACCAAGATCGATGTGGACGAGTTCTGCTGTGTTGCAGTCAACGAGAATATTCTGTACGTGACGGTCACCTAGCCCGACCACGTAACCAACTGGAGGAAAAAAAAAAGGAAGGAACATTTAAAGGACGTAGCTGTGTGTATATGCTAAGGTATGGGGAGGTGATGTACTTCATCTTAATCTGACAAAGTCGTGTCTAAAAACAATAATCTTTCGTTTCACCTTAGTTCGGGAGAACTAACACATTGATCATTTGGGGAAGTCAAATTATTACATGGCTCGGGAGAAAGTACCTCAAAACCACTAGATCTTCTGATGAAGGCTGACAGTTGGCAGTTGAATGATATTACTTTAAAGGTTACCACCACAGTGGTACTATTTCGCTTCTTGGACTTCTCAACATCCATAGGACAAATTAAGGTTTTGATAGTTTCCATCGTATCAGAGCGCTCTATCTCTTCGTGGTTAAAGGCAAAGTCATAAATTACCACAGCAGGCCCATACTTGAGATTATGCCTCTTAAATACCACCCAAGGATTGATCCTAAGATTTTTTGTTACGTGTTTTTCTATTCCAAGAAAACGCGCTTCTCTGTTTACAAAGTGCTGCGCAAGTAATATATTTTACCAATGGATGACGTAGCCACTCCGCGAGTGTAGCTCAGTCTCCTCTCAAACCAAACAGCGGGGTCCGGGAACCTCTCCAGAAAGAAGTGACGGAATACTGGATGAAAATGATCCATCAGTTCCTGTGGGATGTAACAACTGATTGAAAGCTGACCGAGCTAAATATGAAGGCGGTTGCGCAAGCGCAATTTCTATCCGCTTTCTAGCGTAGCCGTACTTTCACCTATTCAGCTTTACTTAAGCAAAGAAATACCGTCCCTCTCGTCTTGTCAGAAAAACAAATTCCTTCAGTGGAGTTTTATCTTATACCCTTTACAATCTCCTTTTCAAGTGTTCTGTTTGAGTCATCTACACTGGCAGGCAAATGCCGCCAGTACTTGAAGAGTGTCCTTAAACTAAGGTCAGTTTTGAACAATAGGATCATATTGTTTCCTCCTTTGCTTAAGGAGATTTGTCGAAGAAAACGTTTAGAGCAATCCCTGTCTCTATAAGTGTGGAATAACGTTCCAACTCTACACCAAATCATAAATTTACCATTCCTGTCAAAAGTCAAGAGGTGGTTTTGTTTCTATAGTCTATGCAAAAATGGAGATTACCTGGTAAACTTCATCTCGTGATTTTCCACTGTTGTCTCCAGCCTAAAAGAATGACAATAACAGGCATTAAAGTTGCCTTCTTTATTTTATCACAAGCATGAACCTACCCATTATTGCGGTTTAAAAATTAGTCTGAACTACAAGGACAATCGGTTATGTTTGCCGCTTTACCTGGACTTTTTTTCTACACTCAAGAGATGTCCAGTCCCCGGGATAGTACCGCGGGTGAGCACCAGTCTTGGTTCCAGGCCGCCCAATCAAATATTCTCCCAAGGGGACTGTGTCCTCGCACCATTCCACTATTCCACTGCGCTGCGATAGTGGGATAACCTGATGAGGGAACGAGACCTTAGAAAAGCAATATTTTAAAAATGATTGAAGAGAAATAATGTGGTACACGTGCTACTGGAAGGAGGTGAGCAAGTTTTTCAAAAGCAACGAATAGAATGGTGTGTTTCTACCGCTATGTTGTGCAGCGGAGGTTGTTTGCTATGTACTGCCAGAGTTAGGGCCAGCCAAACAAGGCTCAACATGCCATAGTCTTGACCGGAATAGGAAATCACTAATAAAAGTGTCCTGCAAAAGGTGCTCTATTCAGCTGTCAAAAATGAAATCGGAGAGGGAGTCAAGACGTTTTCTGAATCGCTTCTTACCAGTACTCATAACGAATGGAAAGATGACCGGACCCTATATATTTAACAGAACATATGGAATGTTCACACAATTCCAAGAAATGGTGAGGACCTTGAGTGACTTACCTTATAAGTTCTCATCTTCAATTTCCGTTTCCTTGTCTCAGAATTCTTTATCAATAGTTGATTGACCATACCAAACACCTGTTCCATGACAGCATCTTGACGTAAGTCATCTCTGCCCTACACTCCAAAAAAACAAAAACGAAAAAACAAAACAAAAGAAAAAAAACTTAAGTGTGGCTCCAATACACCTTAACTCAAGTTTGCACCTTTAGGCCGGAGTGACTTCATAAGATAAACAAAAGAAAAAAATGTATTACGGCTCTGTTTTGCGTACAGATCCCACCAGATAGCGAAGTTAAGCATATCATAATTTCTAGCTTACCACGTATTTTACGCGCTTGTTACTTGTAATTTGTTTTTTGTTAAACATATAAGTGTTGTAACCTTTTGCTGTGATTGGCTGACATGCTACCAACCCAGAATCTTACCCATCATACCTTCACCAGCTGCCTCCTTTTCACTCCATCAGATCCAACACAAAAGATGATCTTGGGAAGATTGACTCCTCCAGCCAGACAGAACTTAGAGTCAAATCCAGCCACATAAACAAGGTCATCATAACGGCACAATGGATCCACCTGGAAAGCAAAGGAGACATAGCGAAGAAAACATCTTCCATAACCCTTAACACCCTAATATTAGTAAGCAGATTCTCCATACTGTCCTATATACATTTCTAAGGGCGCTGACAAGGAGAAGTTGTTTAACAATTAAGAGTCTCTTTTTCAATTTTATTCCTACTTTTACTTCCATAGTGGGAACTGGAACTTCTTTGAGGTTTACGATTCTTTTTATCGTGACTTCTGGTAGGTTAAAGGGACCTAAAAGGCAACAATGAAACAAAATAGTAAAAGTAACAAGATCTGCCCGGCAATGCTACGAAATCGCTCAAAGTAAACTCTCCTGAATTCCGGCATCACTTCTTCATCTTAAATATACATATCTTTTGGAATCGGACGCCAAAAAAAAAGTTTCAGCTTGGTTTACCTCCACTGGATGGAAGTTCTTTCCTGCGGCTTTAGTTTTCCTCCAGAGATTTGACTAATACTTAGTTGGAGTTAGCGGTTTGGAAAAAAGATTAAAATGAAGAGGAAACATTTGCCATAGAGCGGGGCTTGAGAGAAGAAAGTAGTTACCGTCATAGTTATTCAATTTGAATTTCACATGGAACAAATACATAATGTAGAGAGCAATTGGCTGCTCAATACCCGCGGGTCTTATTGTACCTCTCTCATTCTTCAACTGCATGACATTCACGTAAGCCAGTTCAATGTAAGCTTCACACAACAATTGCATATTTTTGACAAGTTCTCCTCTGTGTTTACCAATCTTCTCTATCAAAGTGCAAGCTGTTTGAGTACGAGCCTGAGGAAAAGAAGCCGTGAATACAATAACACTGAAAAAACATCCCACAAATAGCAATCATTAGGAGTTTTATTTGAGACACTAACGCCAACCAAAAGCTATGGGGTATTTTCCCTCGTGTGGATCACAAATCTTTTTTTTATACCATCCGTTTATAAGTGCTAAGACAAGAGCATTCCACAAGATGCTAAAGAATGAACGCAAATAACTCACTTCGGTGAAGCCTTTCGTTCTTTTAGAATGATTCTTGGCCAGCCTAGAGGTACCGTTCCTCTTTCCTGTATGTATGTACTTCTCATCTTTCTCAGCGTTTGCGAGCGCGAGCAAGATGAACAGGGTGTGGTGCGGGTGATCCACTGCCGCTCGCTCAATGAGCTGAGGAAAAAAAATAAAACATCGTTTAATCGTTTCAACTAGCGACATGTTTGAGTGAGGATTCTGTTAACGAGGTACAAAAGCTAGACATACCTCGTTAAGAGTGCGCTGGAACAATCGGTTGTCATGTGATTTTGTCCCAAGCCTGGCTGCCAATTGGTACATCAAAGGGAGAAACTTGCGGGACTGAATCTTTGTCAGCTCTTTCTAAAACAGAATAAAGATTATCCCTGTTCAAACGGGAACCAAAGGCATGAACTCATTACTTTCTGGCAATCAGGTGCAAAAGTGTGATTCGAATCGACTCTGATTGGACGGATTCTTCCCACTGATTACCCAACGTTTGCATGCAGGCAAAAAAATATCTAATAGACACTTAGGGGGCAGGTATTTTAAGCAAAGTTTAGCCGTTATTTGACAAACGGCGTTCTTAACTATCTTAAATTTAGCCGAACCTTTTATTTGAACAAGTATTTTTGCGAACAGTGTCAAGAGGGCCTAAGCTGACAGTGGAAATAATATTTATTTAATTAAATCAACCCTCTTAGAGAGAATACCTGAGGCCCACTACTCGCGTAAAACGGCAGTTTGGGTTAGACCTCGTGTAAATGACCGACCCTTAGAGATACTGCTAGCCCTAGGATGGGGTTAGTCCAAAAAAAAATACCCAGGTCCATATTTCAACAGACATTTCTTCATTTGTGTCTCGCCAAAGAACAAATAATGCATGTAACACAGGAAAGAGGATTTACTGCTCCGACGCACTAACCACCCGGCGACTGTGTGTAAGTTACTACATGATTATAATTTTTGCCAGAATAGAATGGCATAAAAATAATTTTTTTGTTGTGTTATGCTTGTTGACATACCTTGATCATTTCGGAGACGAACTCTTCCTTTGCATTGTCAAACCACAGAGAACATAGTCTAAACACTCTCATATCATACTTGTCCTACAAAAAAGGAGAAAAATCAAATTAAAGTATCAAAATATAGGACAATAAAAATACTACAACTTCGGTGCATGCATGAGGTTGGATCTTAAACCTGCATTTTCCTTGGATTGTTTTCTGAGACGCTGCAGGTGTTCAAAAGGCGAAGGAAAGGATTACAACCTCACACGCAACTGTTAGGAGACTCTTCAGTCAGTTTATAACCTACCCCCGTTAGTAATGTTTTGATGTAGTTTTCCACAGCCGTCCGGAGGAACACGTGCCTGTCCCTAACTACCTGCTGTAGTTCCTTCTCATCCATCTGAGCCTGCAAGTTCAGTGTTCTTGTATACCTGTCTCTACCAGAGTCACACATACGCTGTAACTTTTCCGACTCCACCTTTCAGCAAAAGATGAAATGCATTCTAATTAAGAGGGTAATTTAGCACTATCAACTGAGTTGATAACGTAAATTGGCCACCGTAAGGAGTTTAAAAGCTGACGTTTCGAGCGTTAGCCCTTCGTCAGAGCGATAGAAGAAGGGCTAACGCTCGAGGTTGTTAATACGAAACACTCTGTTATACTCTCTCACCGACGCAGCACCACAATTTCTTTAGAAACTTACCCCCTTTATTCATTTGCTTTAATTAACACCTTTAACACCTTTGGCTTTAATTAACTCAAATTAATTTTGAGTTATCTATGAGTTAACCGTTCGAATTCTGGTAACAATTGAGCCTAAATGTATGTCCTTTTTGCTCTTTCTTTCAGTTATAGGCTTCAATCACTCATAAGAAAACGAATCCAATCATTCATAGTTGCCCTGGTTCAACCTCCAGAACGCTTAACCATTAATAGGAAACTGTCCCTTGCGACCCAAGAAATAATAGTCGACCGAGAGATGTTATGGTGACTTGGATGTTTTGGATAAGGTTTGTCCCTAAAAAGTTGTCGCTGACAATGTCTGCTTTTCATATCGTTGTCCACACGTCACTCATTTCCACCGAAAACTACAAACCACAGTACGTGACGTGCACGTCACCAAGCAAAACCATGTTGGAGTGGAAAGTCCAGACTCTATGATATTTATGGCCCTTACGAACAGATTCTGTTGTAGGAAAGTGGTTTGTGTTTTGCGAAATTTTTTGTGTTTCAGTAAATTGAATTTTATTTTGGGAATTTCAGTTTTTTTTTGAGGAATTAATTTTTGTTTTCGTAAATTGATTGGGTTTGACCACTTTTAGGCCACTGCAGGACCACAGATCTATCCAGGATTACCCCGACACCGACTTTCACCCTAAGCGGGCGACTTTTAGGCAAAATTTCTTGTGTATTTTATTAGTATTTTTTTCTAACCTTTGCCTTCTTCATCAGCGCTTCTTTGTCTTCGTAAACACTCGAACTCATAAAATCTACTTTCTTTTGATATTGTGAATCGGCAAACCATGCGAGCGATAAGAAGGCCTGCAAAGAAATACCAGGAAATACAGGTTCACAAATTAATGGCATTAACACACTGACAAGAGTTTTCAAGAGTCTTGAAAACAACTACTGAGGGGCAGCAATTCATAAACTGGCAGACAGTGAATCAGATATTATGAAAATCAATATTTGACTGAGTCAACGCCTATTTGAAAATGCACTTCTTTCAATTAATTCAGTCTCATATGGATTACTTGCAATCAGTCCCACTTTCGGTTTCTAAGGACAGTTTTTGAATCAATTTTGCTTACAGTTCATTCCATCCTATCCTGCGTTTTCATTCGACTATTGTTTGTTTTCAGGATATTTCGGCTTTCTTACAGTATCATCCAATCCAGTTTTCTATCCCGTCGGTTCTAATTCGGTCTCAGACTAGACGTAAACTCGCGAAGACCTGACGAACTTCAAAATTGTTCCGCTTTTCTTCGTCATGTACAAACGCCTCATGGTCGTCAAGACAAAGTTTGAATAACAAACCTTAACAGACCTAAGATAAGTATGCAAGGTGATATTGAAAGGAGAAATTAGGTGCTAGTCATTCTTAGCGGTTAACGAGCTAATATCCATAGTAAAGAAGATAATTTGACACAAACCTCGATCCTAGAAGCTTGATTTCCCCCTATCGTACATTCCATAAGACTAGCGGCCTGAAAAGGGACGACACGAGGGTCAAGAACATCATTACCAAAAAAAGTGGTGACGGCTTTCGTAAAAATTACATCGGTGGGGGGTTCCTCGTGTTCGCATTCGCCAGGTTTGCTTAACAATTCACCGGATCCATTCATACTCTTCTGGGTTGTGAGAACCACTGTAAAGGTAAAGTGGTATGGCTGCAACTGTTATCCGCCACGGCCTCTTATGCGCGACATGGAATTTTACCTCACATCTCAGGAGGCTTCAAGAACAGGCATAAGAAAAGTTCACAAAGTTCGATTTTCAACCAATCAAGGCGACCAATTATGGCGGAACGTTCTCTACTCCTAGATCAAAACGCTCTCATTTTAATGA